AAGCTTTAGAAAAGATAAGAGATGAGGAAAGAACTTTAGGGTGTGTTTACAATAATGTGTGGAGTCAATCAACACCCTCTGATTAGAGGTCGGATCCTTTGAATATCCATAATGACTATTTAGTAAATATTTGCGGGTTTGGATGTTCGTAAATAGCATTGGACGAATATCCGGATTTTGGATGGATACCCATGCTATTATTTGTAACCGCGAATATTCACGCGAATATTCACGAATATACACGGATCAATTATATTGATTATGAACCTTCAACTATTCGTGAATTTTGTGTAACCAAATATTGGATATTCAATGAATATCCGGTTCTTACCTCTGATGTATAGTCCGGAGGTTTAAATCAAAATAGTATGGAATCACATAAATTTAAGATGTTATTTTATGGAATTAAAACAGTGATAAGCTCAATAACATACCGACAGAAAAACTTTTTTCAGTAGATGTAACTGGAGATCTCGAAGGTTGGCGATGTGCTTTAAACTATTTTTTTAAATCTCAATCGGATCCTATATTGATTATTCTATTTGTTAAAATCTCAATTGGCTTTTATATTGATTATACTATTTACTGACAATTAAAGTAAAAAAAAAAATCGACAAGAAATTCGCCAAATTACGCATTGATCAAGTTTTAGAGAATCGCAGCAAGATTCCTGAAGTATTGTCAAAACAAAGACCAAATTATGGCAAGAATCGTACTTCAAAATATACTAAAATGGTGCTAGATAAACTAGCAGAAAGAAAGGATCTGTGCGAAAATTCGAATAATACTGAATCTTGTAAGACTATTACGAAAACAGGAGAGTATGATGTATGGGCACAAGGTTCAAAGAAATTTTATTTTTTTATGGATTTTGAAGTTGGTTCTCGATGATACTTATTTTGTTAATATTATTAGCACACGATCAATCAGATGAATTTTCACATTCAATAAAGGAGCGAAAAATTAAGGTATACTGTTAAAAATTTGCTGAATAGATGTATATATTTACCAATCATGTATGTAATCACATTTCTAATCGTATATTGCCTACTAAAAAGCCACCTCAAACCTTGAATATGAAACCTGCAGTTAACATTCCTGCTGTTCATCTACCGCATTGTGGATCAAGCTACATGCCATCATTTAAAGATCATCAGGTTTTTTTTTTTTTTTTTTTCTTTTTTTTGAAGATATAAATGATGTCAAATTTATAATTAAGAATGCTAATTATTATATCCTTCATAGGAGCTCCTCATGATGGCTCATGAAGAAGAAGTCGTCAAATTAAACCTAATGCAACGTATCAATTCTAAACTTCCGTATTCCGTCGATGTTTCTTCTTCACTAAACGTAGAAAATATGATTGAAGGAAATGATGAATCATCAGAAGATGATGTTGAAAGTGAAGAAACTAAAGAAAAAGCTATCCAAACAAAAGAGCATCGAAAAAAGACAAAGGCCGAACGGAACAAGGAAAAAAGAAAAATGGAAAAAATAAAGGAGGAGGAACAAAGAAAGACACAAAAGAACTTTATGAAAGAATTTGAAAAGTAGTACTTCCGTCAATCATACTTAGGGGTAATAAGGTCTTATAGTAACTATCATATTATTCAAAATTTAAAACAATAGACTTCCTGAAATTATCAAAACTGTCGAGAATGAATGTGCTGAGCATGAAAAGAAGATGATTGAACGGACAAAATTGGCTGAAGAAGTGAAAAAAATGCCAAAGAAAAAAATTGGCAAATATCGGTGAAATATCTTATTTTTTATTATATTAAGGTATTTATTTGAATTATCGTTATTAAGTCTTATTTATTAGAGTCAGAAAAGCAGCAATCGATGTAAAGCTCACGGAAGATTTGGAAGGGACGCTAAGACTTTTAAAGGTGCCTATCTGATAATCCTAGCTACAATTTTTGGATTTAAGTTTCTTAAGATTTACATTTTATTATTTAAATAACCCATAATAGCCTGAAGGAAATCTTTTCCGTGAACGAATGATTAGTTATGAAGAGCGTAATATTATCGAGCCGAGAGTACTTGTCAGGTAAGACATTTGACAAATTCTTCAAGGTAGTAATAAAAAATTCTTATGATATTGTTATTTATAACTAGCAA